CCATCTGAATGTCGTCTTCGGTGAAGTGCCTGTTCATATCCTGTGCCCATTTTTCTATTGGATTATTTACCTTTATCTTGTTGTGGTGCTAATGGATTTTTAAAGGCTGTAAATTGTCTGGGAGACTATTGTTCATCTTTGTCCCGCAGAGCTGCTGCTGGATTCGAACTGTCTGCCTTTGCGTTGGCAGTGCAGCAAGGCACCTATTCATTTTTCTGTTATTCCCCAGTAACAAAGATTATATAGATAGCGAAGCACCAGACAACTAATAAACTGGTGTTACAAGGGGGCAAATGATCTGCTGAGAGAAGGAGTTTGCAGAGTAACTCTTGGGTTTTTTGTGGGCTGATCCAGGAAGGCTCAGACAAGGGGAGCCTCAGAATACAGAACCATCCTTAGTCCTTTTCATGTTTCTTCCCATTTCAAAAGGCCTGGCTCAAGGTTAAGTGCCAGGAGAAATGAAAGTAGATAAAGTCTCTGAACGCAGCCACTTTTCTTAGGGCTTTTCTGGCCTCTCAGAATTAAGAGATCATCTCCAAGAGGCGCAAAGTGATACGGGTTCGCATAAAGACAAAGCAGTCCAGAAGCTTTGCATTCACCTGCACGATGCCCCACCAACAGCCTCCACTAAGGGAATTACGACTCGCGCACGCGCTGTACGTCACTTCCGCTCCCACCGCGGGGCGGGGGAGGGGGGAGGTGTGTCGCTACCACTTCCGGGTCGTCCAGGCCGCCTTGGGCGGCGCAGGTTTCTAGCTCCGCAGGTGTCCCGTCTATGGAGGCAGTTTGTACCGGTGGCTGCGAGGAGGCAGGAGGCGTTGTCCGAGTACTGGCCTTCGCCTCGCCAAGATGTTACCCGGCTTGGCCGCCGCCGCTGCGGCCCACAGATGCGGCTGGTCCTCTTGGTGCCGGCTGCGTCTGCGCTGCAGGGCGGCGGCCCGCAGCTCCTGCCACCGTCAGGGTGAGTGTCCTGCGCTGGCCGCGGCCCCGCGGAAGCCGGACAGGAGGGCCGGGCGGGCGTCGGGGCCTCGCCCTCACCCCCGGAACCTTGCTCGCGGGCCGCCGTCGTTGTGGTTCAGCCTGCTTTTCTCCCGCAGGCCTCCTTGCCCCCATCCCTTTGGCGCCCCCGGCACGACCCCCTCTCGTGAACCCGCCCGCCTGCCGGTTGCTCGGATCACAAAGCACTACGTGCGCATCGAAGCGTGTAGCGATGACCCACGTAGCCGCGGGATGTCATGGGCTCCAAAGAGTTCCCGGGCTGTGGTGGTGTTGTGTTATAGCCATGGCACTATCATGAGCTCCAGAGAGTTCTAGGGTGTTTTGATTGTTTGGTTTTGTCTTGGCACACTTTTACTGAACATTTTTGCAAAGTAGCGTGTTTTTATTCCCCTAACCCTTTTCCTATACTCGCAACATGCTAAACTTCCCAAAAGTAGTAGGGAACAGGGTGCAATTCAACATCCATGGAGCTTTCTTGTGACTTAGGAGATTATAACCACCCCATGGAAGGATAGAGGGACCGTGCAGGAGACCCTGGATGAGATGGTCGATGCACTAACTGGGGTGATGGGGATAGGTTGTCAGAGACAGACTGGCTCAGGATAGAGTAGGGTTCAGGGCTATTGTACATAGGGTCGCCGTAAGTTGTGGTCGACTCGAGGGCACTTAACCACAGTCTCACTGAATGAGCTCGAGTAGGGACCGAGAAGCTACAGAATTCTTGTTCTTTTTTTAAAAATTATTATTATTAATTTTAATGAAAATTTACGGAGATTTTGGATTTCCATTCATTCATTGTTGCGCTTTTATCCTTGCCCACCCCTCCCCTCCAGTTCGTTCTTTTTGAAAAGTAAAAGAAGTATTCTTTCATTGTTGTACAATCCCTCCCCCAAAGTCCACTCCACTATGCATTCTTCACTCTGGACTCATGTCATGACAATAATTTTGCACAATCCTTTAAAGATCTGATGACAGGGCGTCCATAACCCAGAAAAAAGGTGTTTGGCAAGGATTTTTAGCTTCTTCCGACAGAATTATTTTCAGAATAAAATGTGAATTGTTCAAGAAGTTCCAGAACAGAATTGAACTTGTAATTGTGTTCAGGCTTTCTTCTTTTTTTTTGCATCCAGAAAAGCAGGCTGTCACATCTGACACTGAGAACCGAAAGTGAGCAATGAGGGAAGACAGAACCATATCTATCCCTATGCCAATCCCCCAGATTCTTGGGGTGCAAAGAATATTTACAGATTCTCTTAGAAAATGATGCATAAGTAGACATGTAGCATGTTTGTCACCTAGCAGCTGCAAGTTCCAGCAGTTTATATTAATAAACAGTTTTCAGCCAAACAAACTTTGTTGTGCAAATAAATTAGAATATATCCCTTTTTTAAAAGAAATCAAAATGTGGAAAATGGCCTGTCGGTCGATCCCAGGAGATCACAGCCCTCTGAACTCTATGAAGCAGCACCATTCTACTGTGAGGCACAAGGGATTGCCTCTGGCTAACCATCTGTTGGCATCTGTTCTTTGGCTTTAGTGATCTGAAAGTATAACCAGTCTGAGTTTTGCCACATTGGTTCCTTTAAGAGTAAAATGAGGTAAATAGATACTCTGTAGCATGGAGTTATACTGTATTCCAAAATCTCCTTGGCTTTCTCCCTCCACCTCGTCTTTTTAGTATAATTGTTTATATTGACCAGGTCGTTGGTATTCTGTACCATGGAGTTGGAAATGGCTCTTAGCTGGCCCTCCAGCGGGTCTTCAGAAGCAGTAAATCTTAGAGGAGGAGATTGTGTGTATTTCCTCTATGGAGCAGCAGATATGAACCACCTGCCTTCAGGTTGGCAGTGCACCCTTTTCTAAATATAATTTTTATTTTATGTTGGCTTACTTACAAAGTTTATATACATTGTTTTTCACATATCTGATGCCCAGTCGTAGGCGACTCATAGTGACCCTATGAAGGAAAGTCCTGGACACCTATATATCTTTTGTCCTTTCTCCAGGTTCATAGTGTTTCCAGAGGCAAGCTATTATGGAAGTAGATGCCACTCCTGCTTCCAGGCTTGTTTTAATTGGGGAGCTCCACCAAACACTGTCCCCCATGGGTAACCATTCTTGCATTTGACTCATCAGTGTCACAGTGTTCAGCTACATAGCAACCGCGAGTTACCTCTGTACAGCAGGTGGACATACCAGGGTTACACGACCTAGAGGAATGTTTCACCAAAAACAAAGGCAGGCTCCTGGGCTGTGGAGTAGAGTCACCCATTTTGGCTTGGGAGCATGACTTTCTGCCCATTAGGCCAACTGATCTCTCTCTATGCTACTGTTGTTATTGTTGTTGTTGCTGTTGTTAAGTGCCGTCGAGTCGTAGGCGACTCAGCTACCCTGTGAACAAAAGACCTGGACACATGTATAACTTTCGTCCTTTCTCCAATTTCATAGGGTTTCTGGAGGCAAGCTATTATGGAAGTGGACGCTACTTCTGCTTCCAAGCTTGTTTAAATCGGGGAACTCCACCAAACACTATCCTCCATCGGTAACTATTCTCGCAGTTGACACATCAGTGTCACAGTGTTCAGCTTCACAGCAACCACAAGTTACCTCTGTACAGCAAGGGGACATACCAGGGTTACACGACCTAGAAGAATGTTTCACCAAAAACAATTCAAGGCAGGCCCGAGGGCCGTGGAGTAGAGTCACCCACCTTTGGCTTGGGAGCATGACTTTCTGTCCACTAGGTCAACGGCCTTTTGTCTCTATGCTTTTGCTAAAAAAAACCCCAAAAATAAAAAAAAAAATTAATGGTTTGCATGCAATAATTTGTTTATATTGTGTTTCAACCTTGTACAGTTTTTTTAATTCACCTGCCCACTTCATCCCCCAAACTCTGTGACCCTGTGATTTCCCTCACTTCCCATATAGGATACCAGATAATTTTTTTCTTTTAAAGAAACACCAACAAAACATTATTTTGGTGAAAGTCTTTAGCAAAAAATAAATATATCCATTCAGCAGTTTTTGTGCATACAATTCAATGACATAAGCAGTGTTTACTTTGTGTCAGCAATCTTGCTATTTCTACTTTAATTGCTTAATGACGTTTAACTTAGACTCACTCTTACCTAGTTGTTTCATCTGTACTGTAGATGTATTTACTTTTGTTAACTTGATCTTATGTATGTAGTCTTCTCAGAGTGTAATACTCAAGGCCTTTGGGGGTGAGGGTGTTTGTGTGTAGCTATACTCTTGTTTAGTCTGAAGATGGCTTAATAGGTTAGTTTTGCTTGGTTAAAAGTTTAATGGAACATTTCAGGGCATGGCAGTTTGGATATTTTTCCAGTCTTAGTGAGTTCAGTGAGTCTGGAATTGAAGTTCTGTTCTGCTTTTTTCTTTCATTTGATCACAATTGATCAAGATATTTACTATCCTGAAGATTCACGCAGTGTGTGTGCCATCAAGTTGGAACCATTAACTCAGACTGACTCTCTAACGAGCAACGAGGGAATTAAAAATTCAAACTGCGTGCCTTTAGGATTCCAGTGCAGCTTCTTACCAGTAGGCCACCAGAGAGTGATGTAGTACCAAAATCAAATCCATTGCTGTTGAGTCAATTTCAACAATTTCTGTTGAAGAAAGCTCCTATATGTTGAGCTATACATATAGGAGAGTAAAATAGCTTTCTAGGGTTTCCAAGGCTGTAATTTTAACAGAAATAGATAGCCATAACATTTTCCCGTGGAGCAGTTGGTGAGTTCGAACCTCCAACCTTTTGGTAAGGACCTGAGCACTTACCTGCTGTGCCTTTTAACACTGATTAAAAAGGGAAGGTGGAAATAGTATAGTTTGTAATCCCTGTTCCCTAAGCAGGAGCTCTCTGGTGGTCTAGTGGTAAGTAGTTGTGCTGACAACTCTTGAAAGGCAAGTGTTTCAAATCCATCAGCTGCTCTCTCTGTGCCAGGAAGATGGATTTTATGGCCTCTGAAAACCTGCTAGAGGGTCAGCTGTGAGTGGGCAGCATGTGGCACACAGACAGACATCCTCTCTGCAGCTCCTGCTTTGTTGAAAGTTACCTTTGTCTCATCCACCTGTGAAACTTAGATAATAATTCTCTCACGAATCAGAATGACTTTGCAAACTTTGGAATGTTTATTACTAGAATTCTTTTTTTCATTTCATACTTAAAACCTTTTTGCTTAGAAACAAGCGTGTTTATGAACATTTAATTTTAATATTGAAATACTTTTAAAAGGACTATCATAAACTAGAAAGACTTAGAAAAGGAGTACTATTTAAGTTGGATGTCAGTGAGGAGAAAAGAAAGAATATTTGAAGAACTTTTGTGGACATAATTGAGAAACACCTTTTCTTTTATCAAGAAAGTAAGTTTCATCTAAACTTTTTAAAAAATAACTTCTTAATTTTAATGAACATTTACAGAGATTGTGAATTTCCATTCATTCATTGTTGCATTTTTCTCCCTGCTCACTCCTCCCCCCCAGTTCACTCTTCTCTTTGAAAAGTAAAAGAAAAATTCTTCCATTGGTATATAATCTCTTCACTCCGAGTACACTCCACTATGCAGCTTTGATTCTGGACTCTTGTCATAACCATAATACCCAATCATATATATAATCTAAACCTTTAAAATGCTTATGTGGTAGATAAAGCTTATGAATAAAAACAGAAAGAAACCTTGAGAGATATGACTACTGAATTTGAATACTTACAAATGAGAAACTTGTATGCCAGACACATAATGAAAACATTTAAACCAAAAAGAAAACCAATATTCTAGAGTAGTGCTAGTCCAAAAAAGTATGTAAGCCATCTATGTAATATTGAGTTTAAGTGTCTGTATATCCTAGTGACTCTGGTTGAGTAGTCCCTGGGAAGATGTATTGCTCTCCCAAAGGATCTTGTGTCGTTCACCCAAAGGTGGATCCTCTGTAGCAGCATTAACAGCAGTTTGTAGCCTCCACTCACTAGAGGGTCGGCTAGGAGTCACTTCCAACTTTATGGCAAGGATTTTTTTTTTGAGTGACTATATTAAAGTAAAATGAGAACAGATGAAATGAATTTTAATAATATATTTTACCCACTATGTGAAAATATTTCCATTTATAATCAATATAAAAACACATGGGATATTTTACATTCTTGTTTTATAATACGTCTTCAAAATCTGGGGTATATTTTTACACTTAAATCTTTTCAAATTGGTCCCATTTCAATGCTCAGTAGACTAACTGCTTTAAATACACTTAAATAGAATTATATTGAACAGAGTTACAGTAATATCACTCATAAATATACCAGTTTAAAGATTAAGGTGCAAGACATACTATTTCAAATTGTTTCATATACATGTCAAAATTAATGAATAAGGAAGACCTAAGGAAAAAAAGAGTTGGACAATGACTAGGGAGGATAGAAGAATTGATGCCTCTGATCTGTGAGTATTGAATATACCATGGACTGCTAAGAAAACGAACAGGTTCATCCTGGAGAGGGTTAAACCAGGCTGCTCCTTGGAGGCAAGGCTTCTGAAGCTTTGTCTGACATACTTTGGACATGTAAGGAGGGACCAATCCTTGGAGAGGGACATCATGCTTGGGATGATAGAGGGACAGCGCAGGAGAGGAAGACCCTCTGTGAGGTAGATTGATTCAGTGACTGGGGTAATTGGGATGGGTGTGTCAGAGACTGCGATTGGCACAGGACAGAGCAGGGTTTTTAGGCTGTTGTACATATGGTTGCTATGAGTTACAGGCGACTCGACAGCACATAACAACAACAAGAAAAATTTATGTGTTTGATTTGTGATGTTAAGGAAGAATATTGAGATGCCCATGGCTATCAGAAGAACAAACAAACCTTCATTGAAGGAAGTGCAACCAGAGTACATTGTGGATGTAAGGCTGGTGAAACTTTGTCTCCCATACTTTGACCATGTCAGGAGGGGCTTGTTCTTGAAGATAGACAAGCTTAGGGAAAACAGAGAGTCGGCAAATGAGAAAGAACCTCAGCAAGATAGAATGACACAGTGACAGCAACAGTGAATGTGTGAGCAGGGTGGAGATCTTGTGCATGGAGTAAGATAGGGCAAGATTCAGTTATGTTGTTCATAGGGTCACTATGAATCCTAATTGACTCAACAGCTCCTAACAACATCCTTTGTTTAATTTCACAAAGAATTTGAAGTGAGAGTATACTTTTTGAGTACTTCATGGCTCAAGTAGATGCCTGTTAATAATATTTAATACTTAATGATGTACTAAGTATGATTAAGAGGTATATAGGTTTGCTTAAGTCTGAAATTGATATCAATATGAATACAAAGATAGAAATTAGACCTTTGGATGTTCATTCCTATATATAATCTGATAATGGTATTCCAGGCTATAGTCTTTGCAATTACGTGCTGTGCATTGGAGAGAATATACCATGGACTGCTAAGAGAACAAACAAGTTTGTCCTGGAGAGAGTGAAGCCAGGCTGCTCCTTGGAGTCAAGGTTTCTTCCACATTACTCAATCTCCAGAAAAAAACAACAACACCAAAACAAGAAACCTGAAACATTTTCTTCACATCTCCACTAATGTTCTGATTTGTCAGTTTTTTCCAAATTTTTTCTGTCTGTGATTATTACCTCATGAAACTGCTGTATCACCACAAATACTTTTTATTTTACCAACCAATGTAATACTTTCAAAGAGGCTGTGCTAAGGTATTTAAGGGGATTTTGTTACAATCTAAAGTCTTCATCAGAAGATGACAACATTCCACACAAGTTGGCACTAGACTTTTTCCAAAGCTGTTAATTTTTAAAACTTTCTTATACAAACACATAGAAAAGTCCTAACTAAGCTTCCATATATCTATGACCAATTTCCAATAAGTACGACTCATTAGCAAACATACTGTTGCACTCTATTTGTATCATATACTCTAATGTGAAACAAATATCACTTAAAAATAATGTCACTTATTAATATTTCAGTATATATTTCTATCCCATCATCCTGCTAATTTATTTTACAGTATTTAAGTGTTTTCCTATTTCAAGTAACTGCTGTATTAAGGGTAGGCACTGTGCCTGCATTGTTTGACATTATACTAGCAATCACAGTGCTTGGCATCTCTGTACTAAATGATTCATCACACATACCACATGAAACAGATAAAATTGTTAGCCTCAAGTTAGTTTAATTACAAGAATTTCAATTACAACTTAATCTATATAGAATCAAGCTGTCTGCCAAAAGTCTGTAACAGCCATTTGTGTTCTTGGGAAAAAAAGCAAATTCTGACTATGTAATTGTTGTTGTTATGTGCCACTGAGTCGCTTGTGACTCAGAGTGACCCTATGTACAAGAACCCTAAATGCTGTTCTATCCTGTGCCAACCTCACTGTCTCAAACACACTCATTCCAGTCACAGAATCGATCCATGTCATCAAGGGTCTTCCTCTCCTGCACCGTCCTTCCACTCTGCCAAACATGATGTCTCTCTCCAAGGACCAGTCCCTCCTTGCAACATGCCCAGAGTATGTCAGATGAAGCTTCAGAATCCTTGACTCCAAGGAGCATTCTGGCTTAACCTTCTCCAGGACAAACCTGTTTGTTCTAGCAGTCCATGGTATATTCAGTACTCTTGTCCAGCACCACAGCTCAATTCTCCTATCATCTCTAGTCATTGTCCAGCTCTCTGAAGCATAGCAAGTAATGGCAAAGACCATGGCCTGTATCAGGCGCACCTTAGTCTCCAGACTGACATCGTTGTTCCTCAGTACCTTGGAGAAGAGGAAGAAGGATTGGCTATCCACTTTCGAAATAGCAGGCCTTTGAAAACCCTTTGTACAACAGAGCACACTTAGACTAGCAGATATGGCAACTGAGGATGAGCCCTCAAGTATGGGAACATATAGCAGGAAGAATAGCTGTAAGCAGACACTAGTGATTGGAACATGGAATGTAAGAATCATGAATGTAGGAAAACTGGATATTATTTAAGAAGGAAATGGAACACATAAATATTGACATAATAGGTATTGGTGAGATGAGATGGGCTGGCATGGGTCCTAAGTACCTATATAAAAAAATGAGAAGGGCCAATGAGAGTAGAGAGGCATTTCTTTTTCTACCTATATAAAAAAATGAGAAGGGCCAATGAGAGTAGAGAGGCATTTCTTTTTCTTCCTCCTTGCACTTGTGGGATATATTTTCCTTAGTTTCAGCCTTTCAAAGTCCAATAATAAACGGCAGAGCAGCTGAAGTGCATTGCAACTAGTTGTCTCTTCTGTCAGTTAAAATTCCCATATATACTGATGCACTTACCAAATGCTGGTCTAATGATCTGATTTAAAAAAAAATCAGTGACACTATGTATGAGTGACTGATTAATATAATTCACTTATTGATTATAAAAATGAAAAGAATAAGTCTACAACTAATGGAGGAAAGGCACAGGATAATTGGGAGTGGGACGCTCCCCCTCTATGAAGTGTAGTCTGAAAAGAATGTTAACTGCAGCTTTTTATTTCTTTTGAAAGTATGCAGCGAACATGCAAAATTAAAAGTGTCTGTTGTGTGCCAAGCACCTTTCAGCATAGTTGAATAATAAGAAGACACTATTTAGCTCTGTGCTGCTAACCCAAAGGCACACAGTTTGAATCCACCAGCTGCACTGTGGAAGAAAGATGGGCAGTTTTCTCCCATGCAGTTTCCTGCCTCTGAAAATCCACTGGAGGGTCATTTGGGGGTTGATTCTGACTCGACAGTACATACAACAACTTACAAAAGCTTCTGTATAAAAATTTTTATAATTTAGGGAAAATAGAGAAATTGTCTTCATTTTTCTTTTACACAGTGTCCCAATATACATAGGGATCAGTATAACATCTCTCATGGAGATAGTAGTTTGACATCATGCATTTGAGTATTTCTCAAAAAAACCCATTGACATTGAGTCGGAACCAACTCATTGCTGATCCTTTAGTCGGCTTTCAGAGGCTGTAAATGACAGAGGAGACGACCAGTTTTCTGCCACGGAGCACTGATGGATTTGAACTGCCACAGAAATACCACCTTTAGGTTAGCAGTACAATTTCCTGCAGCCTACACACTAGAACCTGGATATTTACAAATAGGAAAATGTCAGCTTCGTTCTGAACAAGGTATGTTTTATTGTGTATAAACATCTTTATTACGCATTTGCTTGGAATGGAAATACTCTTTTTCTTTTAGAATGGCAGAATTTAGTGACGTTTGGAAGCTTTTCAAGCTTGGTTACCTGTAATCACCCATACGTTTGTACACTGAATCAAGTAAAGTTGTATTCCACCAACGTTCAGAAGGAAGGACAAGGATCACAGACGAGCCAGGTAGAAAAAGTACCAACACTTGAAATGGGTATGTATACCTTTTTACTTATTTAGAACAATATTTTAATTGTGATTTGAGTGAAGGTTTACAAAGCAAATTAATTGTTCATTCAACAATGCGTATTCATTTCTCTATAACATTAATGTCAATACTCTTAATGTAACTGCCCAGTTCCCACTTTCTCCCTGTAATCCTTATTCCATTAGTCGTCTGTACTTCTTTGTCTTCTACCTTAGAATACTGTGCTAATCATCTCCTTATTGAATATTCTCCTTTCCCTACTATTTATTAATTTTTCATTCCCCTCTTCTCCCTTCCTATTCATTCATAACCATATAAGAATGATTCTGTGTGCACTTTCCTTTTGCTTTTTAAAAAAGTACTCTTTTACACTGTTAGAAAATGTCCTTTTTGTGATTGAGTACATTTGTGGTTTTTTAAAATCATCTTTTTCCTATATTCTAGTATGTGGAAGACTAAATGCTTCCAGAACATTTGATAGAACTTAACTGTAAAACTCACTGGACTGGGGTTTTCTTCGTGAAGTGATTTTAAAGTACCAATTTACTTTTTGTGAATGCTTTAGGATCTGGAGAGGATGATCTTTGCCAGAACATTGATTGCTTTATTTATATCTTGGAGGCAGGCCCTCCCCTCAAGGAAACTCACCTTGAAACTGATTGGCTGCACACATCACTTGATAGAAGATGATTACATTGTGTTTGCCAGACTTCTGAGAAAGATAGTATAACCAATTTCGCTTCATTTTTTTAACTTCTTCGTATATCTTCCTTAGCTCCTAGTTTACCAAAGTATTTAAAATGTTTCCTTTAGGATGCCTAGTCTGTCAGTTGTTGTTGTTATGTGCCGTCCAGTTGCTTGTGACTCATAGCGACCCTATGTACAACAGCCCTAAACTCTGTCCTGTGCCAACCGCACTGTCACTGACACTCCCATCCGATTACCCCAATCACTGAATCAATCCACCTCATAGAGGGCCTTCCCTTCCTGCGCTGTCCCTCCACCCTCCCAAGCATGATGTCCCTCTCCAAGGACCGGTCCCTCCTTACAACATGTCCAGAGTATGTTAGACAGAGCCTCAGAATCCTTGCCTCCAAGGAGCCACCCGGTTTAACCCTTTTCAGGATGAATCTGTTTGTTTTCCTAGCAGTCCACAGTATTCTCAGTACTCCTCTTCAGCACCACAGCTCAAAGGCATCAATTCTCCTTCCATCCTCCTTGGTCATTGTCCAACTCTCTGATGCATAACAAGTGATTAGTATCAGAAATAATGATGTAATTTATTAAAAAGAAAGCTATTGAGCACTTTTTATTTTGCAGAAGATAGATTCTTTTTTTTTTTCTCTATAATTATATTTTATTAATTTTCATAAACATTTACAGAGATTTTGGGCTTCCACTCATTCATTGTTGC